TAAGATTGCTGCTTCATTGACTCAACTCAACCGGAAGGGCGTACCATTTGCCTAAAACTATGAATGTAGTGAGAGCTTCATGGAAGTTAAGCGTCATCTTATCTCTGCTCCTGTGTTGATCCTCCCTAACAATATGGGAAGATTTCAAGTCTAATACAATGCATCTTATATTAGCTTAGAGTGTGTCTTGATGCAGCATGGTAGAGTAGTCGCTTATTGGTCCCAGCAACTGAAGCCCTATGAGTGGAACTACCCTACCTATGACCTAGAGTTGGCAGCCATTATCTTTACTCTGAAAATATGGTGCCACTACCTGTTGAGGCAGACTTTTGACATTTACACTTATCACAAGAGTTTGAAGTATATCTTCTCACAGAGGGAGCTAAATATGAAACAGAGACACTAGATGGATCTCATGAACGATTAAGACTGTAAGATTGTCTATCACTCTGGTAGAGAAAATGTAGTTGCTGATGGACGAAGCTGAAATGATTCCGCAGTGTTGGCTCAAACCATGGCCTCTAATTGGAATTCGATGGACGTTATGCAGTCTCTCTGCCTTAACTACTACGACAAAGGCATCTATCTTACTCAGATCCGAGCCCTGCTAGATCTCTTCATGAAAATCTAAGAAGCTTGGTCCACAAACCCAAAACTCACCAAGAATCTAGGTAAGTTCACTTCTAACGAATCTCTTAATTTTAGGATTTTAGATGATGGACTGTTCAAATTTTAGAACCAAATTGGGTCCCCATCGTGTTAGAGTGAATGTTCTTAAGACCGCCCATACTTCCAAGCTATCCACCTATCTCGGGAGTACCAAAATGTACCAAAACTTGAAGCATTAGTACTGGTGGCTGGGAATGAATAAGGATATAGTCGACTATGTCTCCTGATGCCTTACTTGCTAGAGGGTTAAAGAAGAATATCAGAGACCTAGTGGTTTATTACAAGGTCTTTCAATTCCAAAATGGAAATGGGAGCATTTAACTATGGATTTTGTCACAGGATTACCAGAACCTATTCCAGTTGAAATGTTGTCTGAGTCATTATTGATAGACTGACGAAGACAACCCACTTTCTACCTATTAGAATCACTAACTCCACCAGTGAATTAGCCCGCCTATATGTTGATGAGATTGTTTGACTTCATGGTGTTCCCTCATCCATTGTGTTTAATCGTGATCCCTGATTCACCTCCCACTTATGAGACAGGTTCCAGGAAGCTCTAAGGTCTGGATTGTATTTTAGTAGCACTTATTATCCCCAAATGGATGGTCAGTCAGAACGCACAATTCAGAAATTGGAAGACATGTTGCATGTTTGTGTCCTTGACATTGGCAATAACCGGTATGAGTACCTTCCCCTATGTGAATTTTCTTATAATAACAGTTATCATTCCAGCATCAGCATAGCTCCGTATGAAGCATTGTATGGAAGGCCTTGCCATTTTTTCACTTGTTGGAGTGAAGTCAGGAACCAGTGCCATTTGGGACCAGACTTTTTTCAAGAAACCATTGAGAAGGTCGCAATCATCTGCAAGAACTTGGCCACTACTTAGAGCCATTAGAAGAGCTACACCGATAATCATAGGTGATCCTTGGAATTTTTTCGTGGGAGACCAGGTTTTCCTCAAGGTTTTTTCTTATAAGGGAAAGATGCAATTTGAAAAAATAGGAAAGTTAAACCCTCGATATGTGGGACCTTTTTGGATCATCGAGCGCATTGGACCCATGGTGTACAACTTTGCTCTATCCCGAGAGTTTACAGGTCTACGTGACCTCTTTCATGTTTCGATGCTAAAGAGGTACCACCCTGACCCTTCCCATATTATTTCTCGTGATGAGGTGCAGGTACAAGTTGACATGACTTATGAGGAGGTTCTTATAGAGATTCTTGGGTGGACCAACAAGGTCTTGCACAATGAGACGATTCCCATTGTGAAGGTGCGATGGCAGCTTCATACCCTGGAAGAAGCAACGTGGGAGTTGGAAAGAGAGATGAGGGAGAAGTATTCGAACTTGTTCGAGATAAATTTGAGGACCAAACTTTTCTAAGGTGGTGAGGATGTGTTTGCCCATCGCTGTGCTTAATTAATTTGAAAAACCATATTTGTTCGGGCCTTTTAGGCCCCATTGAACTTATTTAATTTCTCCGCATATTGTTTATCGTAAAACATGAATCTTGCTGATTTTTAATTATTTTGATTTTATTCAATATTATTTTATTTTAATTATTTTTGTTTAATTTTCATTTAATTTCAATTATATTATTTATTTTATCCCAGTAAAAATTGGAAAAATCATAAAAAAATTGCAAAATGGATAAAAATAATCTTGTGGGAAGCTGCCTGCAGGATGCCTGTGTTATGTGCACGCACGCACGTACAGCAGATGCAGGACGTGCACACAACACGCACGTCCCATCCGCGCGCGATGCAGGGGGTCACACCCTGCACTTGTTTTTTCGCGCGCAGGTGGGGAAGTCTGCGGGTCACCTTGTGCGCAGACAGGTGTCGCACATTGTGCACACACCATCAGCTCAGCAGGCCTACGCAGATAGGCCCCTGTGTGTCTAGGGCTGCGTGCGTGGTAAGTGGCTTGTGCACCTGCAGGCTAGCCTGCAGCATGTCGGGCGGGCCACTGTCACCTCGGGCAGTGTACCACCGTCACCTCAGGCGATGAGCCACCACCACCAGCGAAGGAGGCCTTCCTCCCTCGTTTTTCATGTCGAGCATCTTTTTCATCTCTCTCTACAGCGAATTTTACCACTTGGCGTGAATCCAATAGTTCCAGATTTCTATAAATAGGTCTTCCCTTCCCACTCTTCCCCACACTTCCATTCTTCCATTTTTCAAGGCTTAGGGAGAGAGAAAGAGAGAGAGAATTATTTAGAGAGAGGAGAAAAAAAAGAAAGAACCCTGAAGGAGAAAATATCAAAGTTTTAATAAGGAATTTAGTATTTCTTTCGACTTTTTATGGGATATTAAGTTATGATAATTATAACTTTGCCTGTTTTGCATGCTTATGTGTTTGTGGATCTTATAAGTTGAATAGTTCTTGTTTTCAAGCATGCTATGTGATTTATAAACACTTGATATTTTGTATGCAATAAAATTAGTATGAACTCAGTATTGTTACTTGGAAAACTAAAAGAAACAAAAAGAAAATAAAATGGAATGAAGCATGAATGATCCGAAGTATGAATCTATTTTGACATGCATAATGCATCAAGTGTGTCATTATGATTTTTATCTTTAAGGGGTATCCGTTCCTCTTGCCCCATCTGGAGTATCTGTGTCCCCCTCCCCCATCTGGTCTGGAAAGACGTAAAAGGATCGCTCCTTGTGACGCGAATATCTGTTAGGGATCACCTTTGCCTAAGTACTTTCGTGAATGTAGATATCTGATAGGACCATTATGGTTGGTACGGTTATGGTCGTAGATCGTACCATGGTTTGGTCAGCCGAAATTGTGTATGACCAAATTATCGTATATGTATCTGATCTGGTCATTCTGCATGGGTAGTTGGAAATCTATATCTACCTTCAGAGATAGAAGTTGTAACGACTTCATGAAGCATGACACAAAAATTTAAGCATTTCATAATTTATTTGATTTTTTCTATTATCTGGTTTGATGTATGTCTGTTTGGATTATGTTAATGTATTATTTTTTTAATAAATAAATTATTTTTATAATGTAAGATAAGTCTATGAAGTAGCCAAATAGTAAGTATTTTCTGTTAAAATAATTCACCTTTGAAACCTTACGATGTTATTTAAATATTATTTTCCTTACTAAGCATATGAAACTCACTATTTTCATCTCCCCCATATGAGGAAGAAGATGAGGAACAACAAGCTGACCTACCCTTGGAAGTCTATGAGGATCTTATGGATCCACAAAACTTCAGTGCATGATTGTTCCTGCACTCTGATGAGTCCAATAGAATAGTGAAAGAAGTGGCCTTCTTTTGTACTTTGATTTTGTAATTGTAGCCACTTTTAGCCTTAGTTATATGTATGTAATTGGACATCATATATATCTGTAAGGAATTTGTATTAATTTATTTCGCTTCATAAAATTTTATCATGCACTCGTTCTTCTGTTTCTGAATCTGACACCTATTTGCATTAATTAGCACTTGGGATGTCATATTACGTACTAGGTCGGGTAGTCTTCTTCTAAGTTGTTGGGGTTGATGTTGTTGTTGTTGGGTACAAACTCGAATAATGCATTGGTGCCTGATAGAGATTAAGTCTTGGGCCAACTAGGCAGGTTCTAGCATCTCGGCATATGAGCTGGATCTAATCATTGCAATCTGGTGGGAGATATTGGCACAAAAATCTTTCAGAAACTTCCTATCTTTACGACTTTCGGGGGTGACCATTAGAGGGGCAAACCTAGACAGTTGGAAAAATCGGGTTGTATATTAGGCAACCATCAGATTTCCTTGGCGAAGGTTA